TTGCCTGATTCCCAACCCCTGTAGCTAAGATACTGCCTCCTTAGAGCTGAATCACAAAAATTCACTGGGGAAGAATAACAATTTGAATTCTTCCACCTCCCCCTACCCCAACCCTCCCAACCCCCACCCATGACATTCAGTAGGGGAAGGAGGGTGGTGGAGTGCTGAATTAGGTAAAACCACTGACTGTAGGACTGAATTTGAGCCCTAGCTCGACAGCTTCCTCACTCTTTGGATAACTGAACTTACTTCAGTGAGCTTCAGCTTATTTCTCCATAAAATGGGAATAATAATTTCTACCTCATAGGGCTGTTATGCATTACTCATGTATATAACATGCCTGGTGCATGGTAGGCATTCAGTAACCAGTAGAGATTTATTAATTTAATTAAATTAGTGTTATCCATTTAGAAACTCTGACTTCATTGACAACTTTACAAGTAAGATTCTGAGCTATGAAGAAGTATCCTGACTACCCAGAGAAGCACTGGATGTATTCCGTCTAAAGAGTTAATGTTGCCTAGGTCCCTGAGTGACTCATGTTCTTTGATAACCATTTCCCTGAAGGCAGTGCAACAGCTTGTATTGGTGCTAAAAGGAAAGCCACGGAATTTTAATGTCAATGTCAGGGTGACAGGGTCTGACGAAGCTTACAAAAACGAATGAGATAGAAAGGCCAGAAGGGCTCCATTCTTCATCCAGGTGGAGGGGGGAAAAAAAAAAAAAAGGCCATTTAATTGGAGAGGGTGTCACACATAGAGGCAAAAGGACAACGGGAAACAAGAATTAATAAATGGGGAACAAGCTTAACAGGGTCATTACTGCTAAAAAAAAAAAAAAGTGAGAACTTATTACTCATAATCAGCTCAAACTCGTTATGCAGTTCCCGGCATCATCTTTTGTCAGGTGTTTGAAGAACTTTTTCTTAAACGTTTGCTTAACTTTGATAACTAAAGAGGGAGCAGAGTTTTGATTGATCCTCTGTTGTATTTCCAGCTTGTCAGGATTGTTACGAGATAGAATATCTTGTCCCATTGTTCCTTAGTATGGACTTTCTCACTCAGCCTTTGTTAAAAACATGGGAAGCCAGGCGTCTGGGTGGCTCAGTGGGGTAAGCCTCTGCCTTCGTCTCAGGTCATGATCTCAGGGTCCTGGGATCGAGCCCTGCATCGGGCTCTCTGCTGGGCAGGGAACCTGCTTCACCCTTTCTCTCTGCCTGCCTCTCTGCCTACTTGTGATCTCTGTCTGTCAAATAAATAAATAAAACTTTTTAAAAAATTTAAATAAATGGGAAGGAACAGTGCTGTACTGTGAATCATACAAACAGGATGAGTTGACATTGACTTTGTGGTAGAGACATTTACTCAACCATTGGTGCTTCTCACTAAAGGCTGGACTCTTTCCCTACCTCTTTGTTTATTTGTTTAGCCTAGTAACTTTTATTTTTCTTTCCAGTTTGGGGGGAAAAATGGTTTTTGCAATCCCAATTATAAAGATATACAAAGATAAAGATAAAGATACATCAACTTCATAGTTGATGGTCCACACAAGAAATATGGTGCTAGAAATAAATGAATGTTAGTTACTAATCAGCATGATTGCTCTACATGTCACTTGAGCACTCTTAGTTTTTGCCCTAGCTCTCCCTCTGATTTTTTAAAATTTGCCTTTACTTGTTAAGATGTTAAAAGAATATTCTAAAGAGTAGCAATCTGAGTAGTAACATAATATCTAAAAACAAGGTGTAGTACAGTGGTATCAATAAGATTAGGGGTAGCTTACAATTGAGGAGGGCCTGGAGTTACGTTTTCAGCTTTGTGGTCCTTATTTACCCCCTACCCCAACACACACACACACACACATATATACACACACACACACACACACTCACATGCGAGCACACACGCGGACTCATTCACTCGCAAACTCCATGCTTTGAAGAAAATGTCACAGGTGAGCAGCTGAGTCTTGGGGATATTAAGACTTGCCCGAGACCAAAGAGCCAGAAAGTAGTGGATCCAGGGGTGTGGCTTTGCAGTGGCCTTTCTGTTGCAGTTCACAGGGACCCATCGAAGCCCTGGACTCCTGCACTGGTGGAGGGCCCTTGTCTTATTCATCTTTGTACCCAGCTCCTAGCACAGAACAGAACGGAACAAGCGGGTGACGCAGCTAGTGCTGTATTTTAGGAAGATAAATCTGGCAAGGATGAGTGGGATGAAAAGAACAGGAAAAGCTGGTGGCATGGAGAGTAGTGGCAATGTTATTTTAATAATAAAGGCCATCAACAAGATGAGGACTGAGGGAGAAGCATTGAGAATAGACGTGAAGCAGGCCGTGTGGAAGAGATTCTGCTCCAGGGAGGCCACATAGCTTGATGACCGTGCATAGGCGGTGAGGGGGACCAGGTCTCTGGATAAGTATCCATCCATATAGCAAATATTTCTTGAGTATCACCTTTGTGCCAGGAACTATTTTAGGTGCTGGGGATACAATAGTGAATTAGGCAAATGAAGATTTTTCTCTCATGGACCTCATATTCTCATTGGAGGATGTACTGGTCAGTGTTCTCCAAAGAATCCCACTGTATCTCACTATATTACATATCATAGGTATATATAGAGAGAGTTTTCAAGGCATTGATTTTTCAAGAAATTGGCTTACATGATCATAGGGCTGGCAAGTCAGGAATCTGTAGGGCAGGCCTACAGTTTAGAAACTCGAGCAGGATCTGACACTGCTGACTGGAGGCAGAATTTCTGCTTCCTCAGGAAACCTCAGTTTTGTTCTTATGGCCTTTAACTGATTGGATAAGGCCCACCTAGACTATTTGGGATAATCTCCTTTATTTAAAGTCAACCGATTGTAGGTATTAACTAGATCTATGACATTCCCCTAGATTAGGGTTTCACTGAATGACTGGGCACTAGAGCCTAGACGAGTTGACCCATAAAACAGCATCACAGAGATGTCAGAATGACAAGTTCGCAGAGAGGAATGATTCAAGGTGTTCAGGAGTCAGCTTTTGCGGTGGAGACTCTAGGAAGACATCTCTGCCTGGGTAGCTGTATCTCCAGCTTACAGAGGGGGTACCTGCAGCTTGGGGATAGTAAGAGACTTATTGAAGCTCAGACAGCTACTAGTGACTGGCCTTCCCGTCATTCTGGTGCCAGCACGTGTGTGGGGGACGCAGAGAGGCTGACTCCCCTGAGCAGTCAGAAGGATCATGATGTTTGGCTTTTTTCCCCAAAGGAGCACCAGTTGGTGAGCAAGTTGAGATTCAGAACTTGTTCCCTGAGAGCAGAGCCTGAACATGGGGAGGTCCATACTGCTGTTGGGGAGGGAGGTGGAGAAGGGTGGCTTCATCCCTCTTTAGTCCCTCCCTCACTCCTGCCAGTGCCCATCTCAGGCCTCTCGTGCCAGTCGATTGTTCTGCCTAGAACACCCTCTTTCTTCTCCCCTCCCTTATATGCAGATAGTGTCCATGTAGCCCTCAAGTGTTTTGGCTTTGGCTCTTCATGGGGAAGGTCTTCCCTGAGTACCCCAACGGGATAGATCTCCCAGATAGAAGCCTCCCCAAACTCCATGTTCTTCTAATGTGATACTTAGCACGGTTGTCATTAAGTAGTTTATTTCTATTATTTTATTAGCATCTGCTCCTCCTGTTACACTCCTGAAGGGAAAGGAGCCAAATCATTACCATGCTCATTCCCAGAGTTGAGCACAATCCTTGGCATTTATTACTTGTTGGATGAACGGATGGATAGAAGAACGAATGAGTGTGATACGTATCTACCAAGGAATAAATCTGCAGGCATTCCAAACGATCATCTGGGAACATGATGATCCGTGCAAGTTGCTACTCTCCTGTTCTAATCCCCAGCCTACTCCTATCCAGCCTACTGCCAACCCCAGCCTCAGCACGTGGGTTTCTTCTCAATTTCCATTTAAAAGCTGGCCCTTCCCTCTCTCTTCCCTCATTTAGGGGTCCCTTTGAAGCATCTGAGCAGAAAGCCCTCTAACACAAAGAAAACAGAACTGTTAGAAAGGAAGAAGACGAAGGTGAGAGAGAGAGTAAACATATTCCTGGAATAGTGCTGCACCAAGGATGCGGTCAGGGTGGACGGAATTTCCTGTGAAGCCCTCGTACTTAAGGCAGACCATTCCCTCTCGGTCTTGCCCCAGGCAGGAAGTTCTGTCTGCTTCGGCTGGTGGCCCCGAGTCTTGCGAGTGAAAAGAAAAGCTTCTGACTCGAGAAGTCCCTGCTGATCTCTTGGGCCCCTGGAGAGCCAAGTTGAGTGAAAGGTCAGTTAGGAGGCCCCCCTCTTGCCCGTCCTGAGCGCCCCACTTCTGCTGGTATGCAGGGAAGGCTCGCGGGCCTGGAGCATGGGCACTGCAGGGGCGATGAGCGCGTCAGCTGTACAAACAGTAAAGGGTACAGGACGGTTCAGCCCGGCTTCTGCTTCAGCAGCCAGCAGCCGTCACAACGTAAAATGTCATCTGTGTTATGAAATGCTTCCAGGAGCTCTGCTGCCCTTCTGTGTGACAGCCCAAATATTAATGGAAACAAGCCTTTATTTTGCAGTTGTCTTCTGACTGTGAAAAAAGAAACTTTGGATTTAGTTGCAAGTAATCTTTCTCTCTCTCTCGAGGTCTATTCTCAAAGGTTCGGGCAGGCCTCCCTGCTTCCATTCTTTCCCACTAAGCCTTCTTCCTACTGAGAAAGAGCAAAATCTCTCTGTGTCTCCATTCCCTACATTTTCTGAAACTTGGAAGACTCAGTTGTGAATCCCAGAGGACAGTCCTGGGATCCAGACAAAGTCTGACTGTATCAGCACCCGGTATGAGAGGCAGCTCCCTGGCCCATGGAGCTAGGAGATGGAGGTTTGAGTCTCAGCTCTGCCTCTGAGCGGTCGAGTGACCTTGGACAAGTCTCTGGGCTGTGGTGGACTAGGTCGTCTCTGCAGTTACCGCCACTCTAAGATGTATGGTTCTCATTGCAGGCATCTTTTCCACAAATCCTGTGTTGACCCCTGGCTTCTAGACCATCGCACCTGTCCCATGTGCAAGATGAACATTCTTAAAGCCCTAGGGATCCCGGTAAGCACAGCCCAGCCTACAGCATCGTGATGTGTGTCTTTCTGCATTACCCCCAAAGCAGGGAGAAAACCACACACCCGGATTTTCTCTGACCCCCTCCTCGGCACAGCGGGGGGTGTCATCTGATGAGCCTCCAAGAGAACGCCCATGTCTGAAAACATCTGTCCTCTCACTTTCTCTCAGTCGGAGAACACCACGACCCTCTCACCACATCCCCGCCTGTGACTCGAGATGCTGCTTCTGCAGCTTGTAGGCTTCTCCCCTGGGCTCCGGGGTGTGAGCGCAGGCAGGATCCAGCAGAGGCAGGACGGTCCTGGTGCCCAGGGCTCGCCTCCTGTGGCATTACTCACGGCATTGTTTGCAAGGGCTTCTGCATGCCAACTTTCTGAGGCTGCCCTTCTCTGGAAAAGTCTGAAGTGCCTAGCTTTCCTGGGAAAGGAACTCTTCTGAACAAGGGGAGGGAAAGCCAGCCACTGGGGAACCTGGCCCAGAGCCTCTGCTCAACTCAGGTCGCTGCAGAGACCTTGAGTGAACAGGAAGGCAGAGCCAGCACCCCTTCACTCTAGCGCTCCCGTCCCATTTGTGCCCTCAGTTATGTGTTTATAAAATGTAGTCTCTCCCCCAGCGCAAGGAGAACCCCACCAGCTGGCCGGCTCACTGCTCTGGGGAAGGACTTTCCCAGGACCGTATTCAAGCAAAGCCACAGCTGGTGGCTGGTGAGACACCAGCTGCTGCGGTGAGGGCAGGAAGCAAGCCAGGCCACCAAATCCGAGGGCTGCACAGAGATGGGAAAAAAACGCTGGCACTGTCTAAAAGCAGCTAGACAAACAGGATACGGAGGCCAACCTCCTCCCCATCCCCTCTGCTCTGCCGCAGCCTCTCTCTTGTCACTTCTCACCACTAATGGCAGAGAATAAGAGAATGTTAAGGGTCCCAAGATAGCACTGAAGAAGAAAGGATCAGATATCAAAGGATCCCTTTAATGCCAAAGGGCTAATTATCCTAGGATTATCAGAGTGGCTCTGTTGGAGAGGGCACACCTGAAGACTCGGAGGTCAGGCATTGGCTGAATTTTCTACCCGGTAGCAGCTGCGTCCATGCCATCTGTCTGCTGTTTTTCATGGCTGGTACACCAAACACGAATCAACTCATGTGCTGTGGCTTTGAGCTAGATTCTGAAAGCCAATGCATTAAATTTTCAGACCAGAGTTGTAAATGCATAATGCGTTCAAGGTGAAAGTCAATTACAGCGGACATGAAATATTACCAAGCACCCAACCTCTCTACCAGACATTGGGAGTTTGGAAAATTGAACTCGGGGTTTGCCCTTCTCACGTTGCCAGCTGCAGCAGATTCATACGGGGGAGCCAGGAAATGCATATACGTGTGTGCTTGCATGTGTGTGTGTGTCTTTAGTCTCCAACATCTGCAGAATACTTAACAATGAAAGAGAGAGTCACATTATCTGACCCAGTTCCTATTCCTCAGGATGTTCTCGAAGCTCCTGAATGTCAATCCCAGTGCTTCTTGGTCAGGACGATGAAACCAAACCACTCCTAGCAGTTAAGTTTTGTACTAAATAGCATTTGACTTCAGACTTTGCCAGAGGTGGTAGGACTTCTCCAGAAGGTACTTGAGAAGGAGTTGAGAATACAGATACTATTTTTAAAATAGAAGTATTGGGTGGCCTTTGGGCTTATTTCCAAAATTAATAACATTTTCACTTTTAGAAGTTTCTTTTGTTCATGGTTCCATGCTGACCAAGTATGGAGGATGGGATTTTATTTAGCACACTGGACTTCAAGAAAAATAAACATGGGTAGCATCTTTTGGATTTTACCAGGGAGCTGGACAGAAACATGACATGTATCTGAGCTCGACCCAGAGAACAGAACATCCTCTGGGAAGAAGAAAGCCTGTGGGCTACTTCTCAGGAAGCACCAAGTCATCTGGCTACCCTCTTGCCTCTCTAAGACTTTTCTGTTTTTTTCCTAGAGGATGACACTGAAGTCAGGATCTGGGAGGAATCTGGAATGTTGTTCCACTCTATACTTCGCCCCTGGGTAGCAGCACCATGCCTAAACTCCAAAAAGATGATGTTTTATTGCATTTGTGTAACTTCCCCTGTCACTGGACAAGCTCACAGCCTTCTCATTAGTAAATACTTCCTATAGCTAACTGAAACCTTTTGTATGCTGCTTACAGAGACTGCTTCATAAGTTTTCTAAATTGCTTATATTCATTCCATTCTTCAGGAAAATTGACAAGAGCTTGTCAGTCTCTAACAGTTAGTGCCTGTTGGTTCTTATCTCTGTAGCCCTTTCATGTGCCAAGTTGATCAATACATGTCTTGGGGCCTCATTGCCCTTCAGAGTCTGAAGGCTGCTGTTCACAGAATCGTATTTATGAAATTCAGTCTGGTCCTTCTTTGAACAGTGCCCACTCACCAAAGCCTCAGTGGTCATCTTGGCCAACTGAGTTGTCCAGTTACAGGTGGTAAGGTTTTTTGGGGGGGGCTCGGTTTTGGTTTTGGTTGACTTTAACTGAGTATCCTTGTACGCACCTGTGCTATAAGGCAAATCCATGTAAGTTGAAAGCTGGAACCTGGAGACATTTTCATTTTGTAAGTGGATATCTCTCAAATGAGCTAAAGAACGAAAGCTTGCCGATTATGAAGTTCCCATTACAGTGGGTATCTGTCTTTATTATATGTTACCAAGAGAAACAAAATACTGGGGTGCCTGGGTGGCACAGTGAGTTACGCATCCTACTCTTGATTTCAGCTCAGGTCATGATCTCAGGGTTGCGAGATCGAGCCCTGCATCATGAGTTCTGCTTGGGATTCTCCCTCTCTCTCTCTGACCCTCCCACTGCGTGCACAATCTCTCTCTCTCTCTCAAATAAATAAATAAACCTTTAAGAGAGAGAGAGAAATAAAATACTGACTGTAAAGGGGCAGGGGGCCCTTTCTTTTCTTTTTTCTTTTTTTTTTTTAAGATTTAATTTATTTATTAGACAGAGATCACAAGTAGGCAGAGAGCAGCCTCCCTGCTGAGCAGAGAGCCCAGTGCAGGGCTCGATCTCAGGACCCTGAAATCATGACCTGAGCCAAAGGCAGAGGCTTAACCCACCCAGCCACCCAGGAGCCCCCAGGGGGCCCTTTCTTGTCTGAAGTGTTTTCACCCCTTTATCTACACAACAGTGCTTCACGTTCCTTTCTCTCCTGTCAGGTCTAGGTATGTCTTTGTAGACGACAGAACAGAGGTCTCAGTGAGTCCTCCTACAAGGTACTGCGACACCCAGGCCATTCGTATCCCAGCAAACACCTTCTCCTATCACTCTTGTCCTGGCATGAATAGGATAATAGTTATTAAGTAGAAATTCCATGTAGCTGGGGTATTCCCAAGTTCCTGACTGTTTAGAGATTGATTTATTTGAGGTGTTTCCCCATGCTCACCTAAATCTGAAGACCTATACCGTATTCATTCGCAGATGGTATTTGACATCTCTGCTAAACATATGACTGTAATTTCTCTTAGAGGTCTATAAATTGGGTTTCTTTTCAAAATATCTATTTGATGAACTACTTAGGGTGGACATAAACTGTGAGTTTCTGGAAATTGTGGTCTATTAAATATTATACCTAAGCCAAATTATTCACACGTGCCACCATTAACAATCTCACTGAGCTAATTAGCTCTTTCTCTTTTCCCCTTTTGTTAAGGATATAATACTGATCCTACTAGTCCACAAAGTAAAGAGAACACTCTACATCAAAATCAATAACTTTTTTTTTTAAAGAAAAGAGATAAAACAAATGAATGATATCAACAAGACAAGTCAACATTTTGAAAAATATGTCAGTTGTTACCGTATCTACAACTGCATCCAGATGCTTTGGATGAAAGACCGACCAGCACAGTATTCTCTCATGAAATCTTTTCTTCCTTGACACCCCACACACAATCAGTTTTGCTTTTAAGGCTTTTTATATACTGTAGGGGAAGACAAAAGCATGGTTTTTCCTTCTACCCTCCTAGGTTCTCCTGCTGGGCTCCTATAAATGAGACTAGAAAAAGATTACCACGAGAAGATGCCCCTGGGTGGCCCAGTAGGTTAAGTGTCTGCCTTCAGCTCAGGTCATAATCCTAGGGTCCTGGGATCAAGTCCCACATTGGGCTCCTTCCTCCACAAGGAGCCTGCTTCTCCCTCTCCCTCTGCCTGCTGCTCCCCCTGCTTGTGCTCTCTTGCTCTCTCTCTCTGTCATGTAAACAAACAAACAAGTAATAAACAAATAAACAAGATTTTCAAGAGAAAAACAACCAGACATTTATTTACTCACATGTGCGTTGTCCATGCATATAGGAGTGTGTAGGGATGAGTAAATTAAAGGGGCGGTCAGAACTTGGACATCGCATCTTCATGAAAGAACAAATTTTTAGAGAAGTGGCAAGACAAAGGAAAAGGACCTTGAGCTGCTAGGGCAGCAGATTCTGAGGAAGTACATATATGAGGGAAACTAATGGCAGATAAAAGCGTGGTAATGAGGTATGTTATTATAGACCCATTTGGCATCAACTCTCAGACTCTGGTAATAAGGATGTTCTTCTCTTCATGGTACAAGGAGGGAAGCCACCTTTACAAATTTGTGTCCTACTTTTAGGTAGATGGGAGGACAGAGACCATTACTTTATCTGATTCTTCTCCACTGTGTTTAACTCAAAATAATCTTTACGCCAATAGTGTATCTGGGGTGACATATTCTGCTGCCCTTGAACAGCATACCTTACCTCTGCACAGAACCTGACCGTTTTTAAAAGCATTTTCTCAAATCTTCCCTTCGTTGATCTAGGGCTAATACTAATGTTCCCAGCTTCTCATAGTAGTAAACTGAGACTCCAATAAAATACTCCAGTGGGCATTTGCTGAGCACCTAATAATTGTCAGACACTATATGAGGGCTTGGAATTTAAGATCAACATGATGTAGTAGCTTCACTCTAAAAAGCTTATGTCCCATTTATATGTGGGATCTAAAAACTGAGCTCATAGAAACAGACCAGACTGGTAGTTGCCAGAGGCTGGAGGTTGTGGTGGGGGTGGAGTGGGTGAAGGTGATCAAGTTATAAGATAAATAAATCCTGGGGGTGTAAGGTGGAGCATGGTAACAATATTGTATTGTATATTTGAAAGTTGCTAAGAGTGTAGATCTTAAAAGTTGTCATTACAAGAACAAACGTGTAACTATATGGGATAATGGATATTGACTAAACCTATGTGTTAATCATTTTCCAGTGTATATGTGTGTATCAAATCATCCTGTTGTCTAAGCTACCACAGTGTTACATGTCAATTATATATGAATAAAACTGGGCAGAAAAGAAAGCTTGTGGACTAATAGAGAGAGACAAAGACAAGCACAGTTACAAATAAACCATAAATGCCTACAAAGTGTCACAGTATGGAGGATGCTATCTGGGAGGGAACGCAACTTAGAAAAAAAAGATGCCATTTGGCCTGGGAATTGAAGGATGGTTAGGAATTCACCATGGTTATTTGGAGACCTAGGGATAGAAAAGGGGGTGGGGGTGATGGGGGCTGAGCAGAGGAACAGCATTAGCTAAAGCCCTGAGATAGTGAATATATGGCCTGTGTTTCCAAGGGCTGAGGGGAGGTCAGAAAAGCTGGCTGGGGTAAGGGTGTAGAGACTCTGTTTTGCCACACTAAGGACCTTATAATTCATTCTTTAAGAGAAAAGAAGAATCATACCTTTTTTTTTTTTTTTTAAGATTTTCTTTATTTATTTGAGAAAGTGAGAGAGAGAAAGCATGGGGGGTGGTCAGAGGGAGAAGCAGACTCCCCATTGAGCAGGGAGCCCAACAAGGGACTCTATCTTGGGATTTGATCCTGGGACTCCAGGATCATGACCTGGGCCAAAGGCAGAGGCTTAACCAACTGAGCCACTCAGGTGCCCCACTTTTTATTTGTTTGTTTGTCTTTTTTTTTTTTTTTAAGATTTTATTTATTTGACAGACAGAGATCACAAGTAGGCAGAAAGACAGGCAGGGTGGGGGCGGGGGGGTGGGGGCAGGGAGCAGGCTCCCTGCTGAGCAGAGAGCCCAATGCGGGGCTCGATCCCAGAACCCTGGGATCATGACCTGAGCTGAAGGCAGAAGATTAACCCATTGAGCCATCCAGGCGCCCCTGTTTGTTTGTCTTTTAAAGAGTGCTCTGGTGAGAAAGTAGAGAATGGAATATACCAGGGAAGAAACTGTAAGGAAATAGGAAGGCTGGAAATGGAGAGAGAAAATTCGTAACATACCTGCTCATGCCCAGTATTATGATCTCTAAGTTTAGTAAACATGGTGGGTTCGTCATCCAATGAACTGACTTTTGATAACTTGAGTTTCAATAAATTGGCCCACTTCGCATAGAGATGAAGAAGGTGAAATGAGCTGAATTTGAGTTTTTTATGAGGTTGATGGAAATTTCCAGCTGACTATTGGAAACACAGGTGTGCAGCTTGGGAGACTGCTGTAAGAGTAGAAAGTTAGAACAAGTGTCCCCCACTTTGGGTTCCTTGCTTTGTGCTCCCAGTGAGTCCATGAGTTACAGATTTTCCCTTCGGGTGAACTTCACACACAGTATAGTCATTGTGATGTTAATTCAATCGGTGCCAATCTAGAATTTTCCTCACCTAATCCTACCTGTCCTGATCTGCATCCATTACGAGTGCAAAACCAAATTTATTTCATAGCTATTCTTAATATATCTCAACACTGTATCTCTGCAACACCATCTTTTTAAAATAATTTTAGAGGTTAGAAAGAGGCATAACAACTGAAAGTCATCTTAAAAGTTGTTTGTGGAAGACATATAAATATATTCAATACTATTTCAAATAACAGAACTAAGACCAAAGAGAAAAACTTGCAACGGGTAAGATTTTGCCCCATGATAGAATAGTCTAACAAGGCTAGCCAACACAGGTTGCCTTGCAAAGCAGAGAGCTCCCCAATTTTTTGTTCTTCAAGTGAGGCTGTCAGAGATCCGACAATGAGGGCCTGGAGGGAGAGGAAGTCTTGCAGTGAGTGGATCGTTAAGCTGGATGACATCACCCTGGTTTTAGGATAGTAAAGTTTTCACTTAGAGGATTTGACAAACATATGATCAGTTTGCATGGTAAGCAAATAGGTTATTTTTTACAGCTGGCTTTTGGCTCATGTTTAACCACCACAACAAAAATAGCCTCACCCTGTGGCTTTGTGTGTCTCTCTACTAAACAGTTCACCATGAGTCAGATTCTGTGCCCCTTCTCTACTGTCATCAGTGCATTTGCAAACAATTCATGGGTCTTTGGGGGTAATTATCAGCTGTCAACTACATTCTATATGAGGAGTACACACTATATGTAAGGAAGGACTATCATTATAAATAAATGCCGTGTCCCCCTCCATTATATTAATATATGAACATTGCTTCTCCTGGAATTAAAATGTTCTCTCTAAATCTAAGTGGAACCCTTGGAAAGGAAATTTTGAAAGTGGTTTTCAAGTTAATTAGAGAAACTATAATAGAACATTTTTTTAAGCGATTCAGGAAGAGAACCATAAAGAACTTGGTTTTCCATTGAGACAAAAGACTTAGGCTGTGAACATTTCATCTCTAACTTGATGACCAGCACTAAGGGCAGATCCTTTTCTGTTCATATTAGCCCAATGCCGACTGCATAGATGACTTGCCCACCGACTTCGAGGGATCTCTAGGAGGCCCACCCACCAACCAGATCACAGGCGCGAGCGACACCACTGTGAATGAAAGTTCAGTCACCCTGGACCCTGCTGTCCGGACGGTGGGAGCCTTGCAGGTGGTCCCGGATACAGATCCCACCCCGCAGGAAGGAGAAGTCATCTTTACCACTAACAGTAAGTCCTGCTCTGCTTAGAAGTTCCATAGTCCACAGGGTTATCACCACATGGGAGTTAGAAAAAGACTACTTTTCCTCAAGAAGAAAACAAGTGGACTGAGTGCAATGTTGCCAGGCTGAACAGTCATACCTGACAGAACTGTAGAAGCCCATCGCTTTCCAAGGGCAGATGGCCCAGCTGGCTGTGCGTCTTGCCTGCTCGCACATCCCAGGCGGGTAGGACGCTGGTTCTAGTCCGGGGAAGGGCAAGTGAAAAAAGCAACCACAGGGCATGCGGGATTGGGCTAGGGCACTACCCTGCTCACTCTGTGTATGAATGAGTGTGTGTGTGTGTGTGTGTGTGCGTGCGTGCTTGAGAGAGACACGTGGCTGTATGAGCTGGTCCCAGCTACATGCCGGAGGGTTCTCTCCCCTGTTGTCCCTGGACTCAGATGTAAATGGCATTCCTTCAGGTGGGTGTTTTTAAGGTCCAACCTAAATGCCCTGTATGTGGCGGCATATTCAAGTATCTTCTGGATTTCTTCCCCATCCTCCACATATATTCTAACGCCCGTTCTAGTTGATTGCAGTTATAAAAATATTAGAGAGCTGGGTTAGCATCAAGATGGAAGCTCACACCTAAAGTATCTGCTCTTAAGTCTTATAGAGGAAAGAGGAAAGCTTCAGGAGTTTTAAGAAAACTAGCATGCAAAGTAACTTTGGTTTAAGGTTTAAAAGGTGGGTGGATATCAAGATGTGAAAATAAGGTGTATTGTTTCTCTTGATAGAAGTAACCTATTATTCACTACTGAAAATTTGGAAATGGAGAAAAGCAGATTAAAGCCACTGGGAATATTGCCTTTTAAGTTCTTTTTTAACCTATTTGTGGTATTTGTAGAATTTGTAAAATTATTTAGACTGAAATGTAAAGATAAGCCTTTTTTCTGATGAAGAAATTAATGAACCTTATTGTTGAAAGATTGAAACATGAAGAAAAGAATTAAAAATGAATGCAAAAATCACTCAGTACCCCACCTGGAAATAATCACACTTAACATTTTGGTGTATTTCCTGATAATCTCTTATGGGATAGTTGAGACTTCACCATAGTCGTTGAATATGGAGTGTTATAATTGTAGAACTTGCAGAGGTCCTCAACAGACAGTAACTTCAAGAGGAACTTGGTAGCAAATATGCCCCCACACAGTTTATTAGTCTTGAGTGGATAAGAATTTTGACTTTGAAAACTTGACTTTTAGAAGCATAATGACCTCAACATCGAAAAAATGACCTTTAAACATTCGAAGTCCTGGGGCGCCTGGGTGGCTCAGTGGGTTAAAGCCTCTGCCTTTGGCTCAGGTCAGGATCCCAGGGTCCTGGGATCCAGTCCTGCATGGGGCTTTCTGCTCGGTGGGGAGCCTGCTTCCCTTCCTCTCTCTGCCTGCCTCTCTGCGTACTTATGATCTCTGTCTGTCAAATAAATAAATTTTTTTAAAAAATTCAAAGTCCTTAGAGACAAATTCCGCTCCCTTTATTTTGAAGGTCTAGGGCAGTGCTGTCCAGTATTAATATAATGTAAGTCACATATGGAATTTCAGATTTTCTGTTGTCACAGTAAAAAACATAGGTTCAGTTCATTTTAATGATCTATTTTATTTAGCCCCATATACTCAAAATATTTTGCATTCTTTCTTTTGTATTAAATCCTCAAAACCTGGTGTGTGTTTTATATTTATAGAACATCTCCGTTTGAACGAGCTGCATTTCAGGTGCTAATGGCTAACCTACCAAAGAGCACAGACCTAGAATCCTAGTCATTTTCGGGAGAGAGGAACCTTAAAAGTAATTGAATCTTTACCCTGATAAACTTTTAATTTTTAACTTGAGAGAGTCATGGCCCAGAAGAGTAAGTGGCTGATGCAGGTCAAATGACAAGTTCCCTTTTCAAAGGTACAAGATCATCCCGTAATTTTTCCATTTATTGACATCTTTGCTTACCATTAGACACTTCACTGCTCATTGTCTCTGTGAAGTATATTGGAAGGCCTGATAGACCTTTTGCTAGCAGTTTGAAAACACTGATGGCATAGCTGTTCTCAAGCCTGTAAAGACCCAATCAAAAATGGGTCATCTTCCTTGCCATAAAATATTATTTCATTTTCAAGAGAAAATGTGTCATCTGTGAGATTCCTTATTCTTGAAAGTGGATACATGCTTCATACATCTCCACGAAGCCCAGATGACAAATGGAAGGCATAACTTGTGCGCTAAAATACATCCAAAACTGAAATACAGGATCCTAGTCTGCACCCGTGTAATTCGTAATCTCAAAACTGTTTTTTGCCTAAAACAGACTCAGAGTGTTGAGCCCATGGCAGGCACTCAGTAGATATGTCCAATCTAATCCCGAAGCAGGGGGCTCCTGACCAAGAGAGGGAAAGCTGCCAGGTCACTGTAGAGGAAGATACCGGCAGATTTGAGGAAACAGGAATCCTGAGAGCACCTCTGTGATCGGAAGCCTGATGGTACACAGGAATATGGCTAGAGAGAACAGTCTCTTAGTATAGAAACTGAGGTTATTCTCAAACTGTTTTTCCTAGCCCTTTTATTTCTGGTTAGTTTTATTTATTGGGATCTAACAGAATATTCCAAAACTGGTCATTCTGACAAGGTATCAGTTGCTTATATCACTAACCAAATGGCCATAGATTCCTTCAGGGGAGTCCTTTGCTGTATACAAGTTTGTAAATTGCCGAGTGCCCTAACTCAGATGACTGGTCCACAAATGAACAGACACAGATGTGCGAATAAATGGGTGAAAAGATTCAAATTCTCATCAACGCTGTTAGAACCAGGTCTAATGCTATCTAAAAAGAATGTGGTCAGAGATCTAAGTGTTGCTGGCCCACAATATTGCTGCAAATCACAAATAAATAACCCAGGAGAGCTTGGACCTAACTCTGGTTCATGTTATCCTTTCCCACCTCACATTTCCACAGACCCAGGAAATTACTAGATAATGAGGAAATAACCATAGCTGTCAAATACACCACACCACCCATGCACAGTACCCTTTAAAGCCTTATGAGGGAAATTTCACTTTCATTGTCGTTTTACAGACGCAGAAATGGAGACACAGAGAGATTAACCCTCCTCGCGTGCTCAGCCCTACCTCTGCTCCTCCTGTCTGGCAAATGGTGTTGGTGTGTGGTCGATCAGATGCACATAAAAGTCATTTCAGCACTCAAGGGGGGCGTGTAGAACAGATTGCCTGTAGAGTGAAGATGGAAAAATCTGGCATTAAAGGATCATCTCCAGCTCTCAGGAAAGGGAAAAAAGAAAAGCATTTACACAGCAAAGGAAATCCAGACTTCTTGCAAGTCTGACATTTGGGAGGAAGATGAGCTCGTAGGCATTATCTTGAATGTTTCTGGCATTCCGCCTTTTAACAGCCTCACATGGCAGTCTCAAATCGCATGCTGTTTCTCCTGCATTAGCACAAGAGGTCGTGCACTTGGATGCTCAGATGTCCCTCACCGGTCTTTACCTGCATGCGTTCCAATTGCACCCCAAACAGACGTTACCGTCTCCCCAGGCCCAGTCTGCAGGTTTTTGGATTTGCTTCAGCAAGGGAAAAAAGTTCCTAGGATAAAAAAAGGATAAAAACAAAACAAAACAAAACAAAAACAAAAACCCCAGCTAAACAAACAGTCTGTGTATTTGCAGACTCCAGACAGGAGCTAGAGAAAGACACAAGAGAAGACTCTATCACTACTCCCCAGAAACATTCAGTGCTACTCCACATCTGCTCAGGAGGGTCTGAAACCTTCCCTTTATTTTTCAAGGAAGCTGCCTGTTTGCTTTATCAAGTCACTGCACTGCACAGCTCTCTAGCATTGTCTCTCAGTCACACCCACCTGCCACTACCTTCTAGAAGAAGGCAGCATTCAGTCCAGAGGGTGGAGAGTGGAGGACAGGAGGGGTAGAGGGAGCCAGAAGCTGGAAAGAGACATGAAAATGGGTCAAATCAAGACACCTCCTAGCTGCCCCTGTACCTTCCTGGAAACATGCCAGAATGTGTGTGGCTGGGAGACCTGGTCTTCAGATTGCACAGAAGTTAAGCAGTACACGTGAATTATTATGTACTTGGCTGGCTGAAATGAAATGTGGTATAGGATTCCTCCAGGAGACTTCTTTCACTAACTTTCTATTGACTCTGATCCTTGAGGGAAGCATGGTGCATCCTATGTATTCAGCAAACATGATGTGTGATGTGTTTAAAATGCACCTTTATTTTTGCCTCACTGCTGCTTTAAATGTACTGAGTGGGTATAATGGTGTCCTGCCCTGGGTGAAAATTCCAGCAGGCCTAGGAATTTTCTGTTCACTTCTATGTAACTGGCAGTTACCTAGCAGGGCCCTTTTCCCTGTAATTTCCATGCCTCAGGACAGGTGGATCTCTCGCTTTCTCGGAGGTCCCCCTGCCACCCCAGTGCGTCCACAGTCCATTTGCACCTGCTGTCTGTTGAAGTGCCCTTACCCTCTCACCCCCTCTGGATAGGGCCCAAGCTGAGCCCAGTCCAGCTCTGGACCCTCACACATCACCTGTCCTGACAGTCCTCTCCAGACCAGCAACTGTGTCTAGCCTCTGACCTCATACAGGGCATCTGCCTCCTCTTTCTATCCTCCAGGCAGTAGAGAGACCTGAGTCCACAGTCCGCTTCAGGTTTTCAAAGGTTGAAATCAGTTTTCTCTGAGTCCTACCTCCAAAAACATATTTCAGAATCACCTCTAGGGTCCCCTTAGAGTAACCCCTCACTGGGCTTGGGTGTAGGAGGTAGCCCTTCCCAACCCCTTTTGCTGAAGGGGCGGGATTCAGCAGGACCATATTCTCTCCTCAGACAATCTCTTTACCAGTTTCTCTACCTTCCTCTCCTTCTCTGTCCTATTATCTCAGAATGGGTGACACAGTTAAGAATCATAGAATAGCGTGAGTGCTGTGAAATGTGTAAGCCTGAT